TGCTTGGCGCTCATTGGCTGCTGCTCGCAAAACACACGCACGCACGCGCGCAAACACACACACACACACACACACACACACACACAGGAAGTGAAACGCCATTTCAAACTACAATTTTTAAAATTACGTCAGTAAGCGGACTTACTTTATGCTAACAAACAATGTATAAAATGCCATTGACATGCTAACGGTTAGCATCGATTGTTGCAGAGACAGATGGACCAAGAATATAACAATACTCATAGGCAGATCGTATAAAAGCTATTCAGATAAAAGTGTGTCTATTTAAAATGTCCAAAACATGGGCACAGTGGCCACGTTTGTTACCTGCAGTAGGCAGAAGCCGCAACGCCGCAAACGGCAAGTGGAAGACTGAGGCATCATGGACTCGGTTTCCAGATCTGAAGGCTGCAAATGAATGACAAATGTAAATTGCAAGCTTCGTTCCACTGAAGTTGGGACGTTGTGTTGTGCATCCCTTGTGAGGATAAGACGACGCATGGAAGTTTTTATGTGTGTGTGTGTGTGTGTGTGTGTGTATGTGTGTGTGTGTGTGTGTGGGTGGGGGGGGATTAAAGTTAACGCTGCGATGGCGCCATGACGTCACCTTGACAGTGTCCGCGAGGACGAAGCCCGGGTCCATGAGAGAAACGGCAAAGTACAGCAGCACCGACAATACCACCAGCAGGAAGAACAGCACAGGAACCGTCAGCTCGCCGCGCTCCTCGCACTGGCGCAAATCTCCACACAAACACAAACAGCATTTCGTATAGTTGTCAATAGTTATTAATTAAATGGAGCATCAGGCATGACGTGTAGGGGGGTCGGGCGAGGGGGACAATAAATGTGTGTCCATGAAGGAGGCGGTACGTGCGCCCAAAATACAAAGGAGTAACGTGTACATCGTTCCTGGGCGGCTGGGCGAGTAAATCGGGCGCACCTTTTCGACAACCGTTGAGGGCGAATTGCGGTTTCTTGCCATGGTGCGCTCCATTTGCTTACCCTAACGTCCAAAGTGACCAAGGGGAGTTCCAGTCTCAAATAGGCGATTCGTGCGCACTTTACACATATTTCGTGTTCATAAAATAACATTTGGTGACCGCAATTGAAATGTTCCCACAATCCTGTCATATTATGTTGCTCCGTAACTTCGCCGCATTCAAAACTACTTACCGGTGTTGTGCACGAACAGAATCAGCGTTATAACCCAGGTCAACACGGTGTGTGTGGCCCGAACCAGGAACCCGGTACGGAACATGTTTTGAACCATTTTATTCTAGAAAAATAATCAACCAATTTTGGACGGGTTCTCGTTCGTTAGCCACCCAGCTGGGATAGCCAGCTAGCTAACAACGAGGCTCCTTTAAAACAACATAACTACAACGGCGAGCGTAAAGGTAATTCGTTTAAATCCTACATCGTCGTATTTGCCTTATTATATGGAAGCTATGCGGTTGAGTGACAGCGCCACTACAAGATAAACGCGACATAATTTATGTGAACGTTATGGTGGAATGCTTTTCCGCTTCCACTTCCGTGTTGTTCTACGGACACTCGCGCAGGACAAAAGTCCAGAATCACGCAACTTCCGCGTTTTGTGCTGTAACTCCGGCGTGACCGACAAGTAAGACGAAGCAACACCAACATCCTACGTCATAGTCAGCCATCCATCATTCTCTCAACCGCTTTATCCTGGGAGGATGAGGGGGGCGCTAACCAGTGGCTCAGGGTGTCATCCTTTTCTCTCACTATATTCAAAGTGAAGGTAATGTTTGTTGCGGCGGGGACTACTGTGGGCCGTGGCGTGGTCCCCAATTGTTCCAAAATATATGCTGGAAAAACATGCAATTTTCTACAACGAAGAGCAAAACACGGAGAACACACCAGGAAACCAAGATAACTAACATCATAATCGTAAAAAAGACTATTATAAGATGAAAATAGATGAAAATGAAAACAATACTCCAGAAATGTGGAGAATATCATTTACTTTATATGAGATGGCACTAAACAATATTTCCTTTTTGCAAAATGTGTGTTTGTGTGTGTGTGTGTGTGTTTTTTTTTTTTAAATAACGTTGAAAACTGTAACCTGGAGGCAGTAGCAATTAGCTTCAACCAATGCTTTGTAAAAGTAGGTCTTGGTCTGGCAAAAGCTATTTCAAATTCAGACTCACAGCTGTATGTTGAAGACATATTGTCAGTAGGTTGGTGGA